GATCGACAACTAGAGAGCGTTTCTGACTGGTTAATAGAAGGGAGAGGCGCTATCTGACCTGCACAGCAAAGGCTTAATATCAGATAATAGCGGCGTCTTGTTTCCAAAATTACAAATAGCACCATATGAACAGTCCAGAAGTGAGGAAAGTACCTTCTCAGCTCATCATCTCCAATCTTCTCGTCTTCCCACATGAAGACCCCAGCCAGGGCTGCTAGGAGTTTTCCAGTGTGGGCGTGTTTGCTCTGCAGGCGCCGCCATATGTTGCCCACCAGTGTCCACCTGCTCCTCTCAGAGTACAGGTTTGAGTACAGCTCTCCGATCTGAAGGGCCCTTCTCAGCCTCTGGCCCGTCACAAAACTACAGTGGTTGGCGAATATAGACAACAGTCTCTCCTCCTTCTTTTTGTCGCAGGCCAGCTTGTTCGTTCCCCTTCCTGCTTTTTGGATCCATGTCACCAGCAGGCCCACGCGCTCACCCAGCCACGACAAACTCCACGATTTGCTATTTATAGCACCACTTGGTTTAAAAGTGCTAAAGCTTTGCAATCGGACAGCTCTGGCCCCTATATTGCACACGGGGCGATGCTGGATGGAGGGGAACATCTTTGTTTCTAGAACCACGACTCGATGATTTCTAGATTTGGCTTTGAAGTGCACTTTTAATGTGCCCTGAATTAGCTAAAAAACAAAGGTTTACTATACAAATGAGTTCCCATGTATTGATAGGACTGAGACAAGTGCAACGCAATGTCAAGTTGACATGCACTAGCGATTATCTGGCAAAATAGTTAACGACAGGGTTTAATGGACAACTAAAATGCACGAGAGCATAATCAATTGTTTTTTTTCGTATTCTAATCTCATATTATGAGACGCTATTTTAGTAATCCACTAGATAAACAAACAGTTTGCGAATAACTGACGAACGTGGTTAGTTAGCTAGCCAACATTCAATGACATGCGACCGCGAGCAAACTGCGACGAAAACAACTCGAATGTTTTCAACGGTATGTCCTACCCGGTATTTTATGACAGATAAACTGATTTTCGTATTCCTATCGTTAAATTAATCTGACGTTTATCCTCCTGCGTTAGCTTCATGCCCTCACACCTCTCTAGTGGAGTGCGAGTTGCGTCAAACGTGACTATTGGCCACGCCCTTCTCAGTTTTTACGAGTTTCTATTGGCTGTCTCTTACGTCGAGGATGCGCCTCTCATTCTAATAGGGTAATAAGGCTGTCTGTCTTCGTTGGTCGCCACCCTGGATCAACCAGCATGTTCACATGCCTCACCTTAAATCAACCCATGGTAAAGGTCCTCTACAACTATAAGGTTAAACAGATTTACCACGTGTCTACTCCGTGCTGTAAGTACACATATGTACACTACCAGTCAGAAGTTTGGACACACCTACTAATTATTATTTATTATTATTATTATTACTACCACATTTTATTATTCGTCATATTTTGGAGTAATAGTTAAGTAATAGTTACGTAATTAAATATTAAGTAATATATTTTGTAAAATTCATGCGTAGACACAGTCTATATTTTTCTACTAAACTTCAGGCATTTACTATCTATCTATCTATCGATCTGTCTATCTATCTATCTATCTATCTATCTATCTGTTAATAAAGAATAACAATTTGGTCCCTCAGTAAATTCTCTTTGCCACCTTGAAGAATTCTCAGTTACTTTAAAGTGTAGACGGCCGGGAAGTAAGAAAACACACAGTCAAATGTATCCTCAATACTTCAATTTATTCATAGAAATACAGATATTATATAGGCATATGTCGAGGGGAGTTTCATCCTCTTAACCAATGAGGATATGAATAACATACACGTAGGATCTTTGGCCAAGAACATGTGTTTATATAAAATGGCCACATGTACAGAAAAACATGGACATATTAGGAATAGACTTTTGCGAAGAATGCTGAACTGTCTTCAGAGTTTCTCTCGAACTCCTTTACCCTTGTAGTCCTAACATTCATGTCCTTATTGGGGCCTTTAAACCAAGAGAAGCTAATGTAAACATTTAAGCATGCATACTTCGCATATAAGTAAGACATATTTAAAACATAATATCAAGAGAGAGAGATGCATACAGAAGGGGGGATTCAGAGAGAATACGTTGTATATATAGAAGACTGAGAGAGA